ATACAGGTCGCATTATGTCAAAAAAATCGGAATTGGGTCACTTCAGGCTGCAGTGCGAACGCACCCTAAGGGTCATCCGGCTATTTGACATGAAGTTATACAATTTAGAGATATTTATCCTTCTTCTTCATTCCATTCACTTTGTACAATGCCCTGCTACTTGCTGCAGGGAAACAGACTCCGAGCATGATGCTACCAACAACATAACATTTTGGAATAAAACAGCAAAACATTAAGTTTCTTGTTGACTGTTGTTAAAGCCCTGAACTATAGTGTGGGTAAAATGTTTGGATTAGATTAAAAGAGTAAATCTGTGCCAGAAAGCCAGCAAGTTTTAATGGATCCTGCCAACTGTGTCATAAGTTATGGGCAAGTATCCAACCAGAATGAAGTTAGAAGCTGGTTGGTGGCTAAAAGGAGGAAGTTTCTTCTTATTTTGTTGATATTTATCCAAATGTTAGTTGTGTGTCTACTTTTCAGCATGTTTGCTTAGCTTTCTGATACTGAGTGTTAATGCATTTCTGGCTGTAACTACAGATGTTTTGCTGGCTTTGTACTGTGAACAAAACTTTATTTGGCCCAACACTAACAGACAGTGCCCTGAAAATGATCCATTTGCCTGATAAGCCAATCTGACTCCACGTCCAGGTTGGTCAGCAGAGCAGCGCTGTGTGCTGCTCTGTGATGACATTATTGAGAGTCTAATTTCTTGCTCCAGAGGATATTTTATTGAACTTTGCATGGTCATCAAAACAACAGTAATGTGAGAAATCGGTTTTAAGTGGAATTGGGTTGTTACATCAGAGACACATTCACTGACATTTGCCATCCTCTACTTTGGTGCACATTAAAGTGTTGTGCATGCATGCAGAAATGTTAGGTTCACACTCAGATCAATCTCCTCATTATTTGGATCTATTAGAAAAGCAGCATGTACAGGGTTTTTGAAAATAGTGTGAAAGGTTTTCAGAAAGATCTTGCAAACACACGGAGAAAGTTACACAACTGTCTCACTTTGTGACAATGGCAAATGTTTTTAAAGTCATTTATCAGAATCTAATGAAATGCTGCAATAAAATATTTAATGCAAAATATATGATTTAAAGGAGTGTCTTAGGTAGAATATGAAACTTGATTTCTAAATCTCAGGTTAATATGTTTCAGAATAATTTCATTCAATGATGTATTTTTGGGGCCAGGTGGCCGAAGACTCTGGCCGGGATTCTGGCTTTCCTGCCGTGCGCTCCTGCAACCTTTGGATCTGCCCCCGGCCCGGCTGGCAGCACTCCCCAGCACTCCGGCCAGCGGGAGAAGAAAGCGTGGCGACGATGCGATCGCGCTGGACGGTGGGCTGAAGAGGACTACACTCAGTGCCCGTATGCTAGTGAGCTGACCCGCGTGCTGCATCAGCTCACTCAGGTATGACGGCTCATAACGAAACCAAACTGCTTTTTTTTTTTTTTTTTGTTCTGCAAAACATTTTGTTCATGTTGATTTTTTTTTTTTTACTTGCTTGCTTTGTTTTAAATAGCAAAGAGGTGCATCTCAATAGATTAGAATATCACCAAACACATTGTATTTTAGTGGTTCAATTCAAATTCAGATATAATCATTATTCAGAGTAATACATTTTAAGTGTATGTTTGTTTTGTTTTTTTGTTTGTTTGAAATTGCAATATATCTTAAGACCTATTAAAAAGATGTTTAATGTAAAAATGTTATTTTATGGCATTTAATGGCAGGTGAAAAACCTGAGTGAAGTTGGCTTCCCCACCTTATTCAAAGCGAAGGTGTAAAAAGTTTGTGCAGCTATAATTTTAATGATAAATGTTTCCACAGGTCATGAAAGGTCAACCAGCCCACCAGGGTAGTAACAACATGGGTATCTGTTTTGGACTTTTATCAAATTCTAAGACAATAAAGCTGGTTCTAAATTAACTTTATCATAATATTCTAATTTATTGAGATGTACTTGTAGTCCTGAAATGAAATGCTGCAAAACATTACTGTTAAAATTGTTGAAAACTGTCAGTCTGACTATTTTAACCTAATATTGTCTCTAATTATCACTTTTTATTTCAGATACCGATTAATATCAGCAATTCCCAGCCTCTGGGTCAGCAGTTGGTGGCTTTCACTAGCAGGGCTGCTGACTTTACTGACGTTATGGACGTCATCTTCGTCACTCACCTTGTGGAAAGACTAACAAGACTGCTGGAGAAAAAAAGAGATGTAAGAGTGAAGGTTTACTTCTCTGTAAGAAAGTACAGTTTTTACCCGAAATGAACTCTGGACTCCAGAGGCAACAGGAAGGTTTTATATCAAGCTAAAGGTTAATTATGCAGTAGGAACAGTGCTGAGGCTAGCAAGTTAGAAGAATCTGCATTCGTTTTCATTTGCAGGGTTAATCAACATAGTTCACTTGAGTGGAGATATTATTAGAAGATTCTTAGTGTCCTTTTATCCCAAGGACAATGCACAAGAGGCCATCCTCATTGAGCCAATAAAAAATAGTCAAACGAAGCAACAATGAAATATATAATGAGTAAATAGCAAACCGCCATCCCAAAGCAGCGATTAAGCGCCTTTGGAGCTGCTAATCTAAATTAAATCTCTCTTTTATGAATGAAGACACCATTGTCTACTTTGCAATTCTGACTGGGGTTATAAATGTACCTGTTGGAGGGGATTTATTTGATGTTAACTGTGTGTGTGTTTGAATAATTGTGTCTGTACTTAGCTATTTCCTTGCAAAAGCACCCACTTTGCCTCCACATTGCCAAAAAAAATATTTATTTTTATTAGAAATTTATGTGACAACAAAAAGTAATACATCATTGCAAAATGGAACAAAAAGATACAGTGATGTCCATTTGTAGCTCCTCTAATTCTGTTCATTGTAGAGTGTTGCAATTACAGTTTCAACTCTTTTGGTATGTTTTCACCGACTTTCAACATTTAGTCAATCCCTCAGTATGAGAGATTGCTGGAAAAGTCAACAACCCAATGCAAACAACTTTTAGCTGTTGCCATTCGCTCATCCAGGAGGAGCGAATGCTGCGAATCAGTGGCTTGATCAAATCTGTTGGGTTTCCTTGGATAGAAAACCTTTTAAGCCATTTGAATAATAAACTGAACATGACTGCATTGTTTAATCAGCCTGAGATGCTTAACTTGGAATATATTTCATTAGATTTAATTGACTTTTTTTATGTGAGACAACATGTGTTGCAAATTAGCAGTTAATAAACAAATTATTTTAGTGAAATTGCCACCATCACCATGTTTAATGGTTGGGATGTCACTTTTCGAGTAAAAACGTAGGCCAAAGGTTTAAACTCCAAACTGGGCTTCTTCTGGCTTTTCTTCAACAGATTCTCCCATTCATGCTTTCTGTTCACTGATCTCCTCTGACAAACTACAGTAACTCTTTGAATATGCAACAAAATTAAATTTCCCTTTGGGATCAATAAAGTGAATTTGAAACTTCTGCGGTCTTCACAGAACAGCTGAATTTATACTACGACGCACACTTCTGAAATCAGTTGCCTGTATTGGATTTTGTTTAAGGTTACTGAATACAAATGGATGCCACACTTTTCAGAGTGTACTTTATAAACATGGAAAACCATTTTGTTCCCCTTTCATAGATAATGTAGTAGAGTTGGCGTCGCTCTGTCACATACAATCCTAAGAAAACACACTGGATTTTGTGTTTGTGATGTTACAACATGGGAAACCCAACGAGCTAGAAATGCTTTTCAATCCTGGTGTGTAAATGTGGCTGCTCGTCTTTGTGCAGTTGGGGGACTACATCTCAGGCATAGCCAGCAACATGATGCTGGTGGAGGAGCACATCCTGTGGATGGCGCAGAATGAGGCCAGAGCGTGCACGCGGATCGTCCAGTGTGTGGAACGCATTGCCGACTTGGCGCTGACGGAAGACAATCGGGTCATTTCTAAGGTGCGTTACACCTCAGGTCAGAGAGAGGTTAGATTTTCTTTCTAAATATCTCCCTGCTTTGCTTGCTCTTTTGTCTCAGAATAATGAAGTCTAGATGGGGTTTAATCAGAAAAGTAGAGTAATGAAACACAAAGATAAATTGCTTCCTCCCATTGTTTCATCTTGCCTCTCCCTATTCTCTCCTTCTGGCTGTCATTAGGGATAAAAGCATCTGCAAAATGATTAATATAAAATCTCTGCTCCTCTTCTTTCTCTTTCTCCCCCCACTACCCCGCTCTCCTGAACATTTGGGGGATTTTCCATAGGTGTCTGCTAATATAGCTCTGGAGGCTTTTCTGATCAAGCCGTCAAACTTTCTTGGTTTGTCCTGCACGGCGCTCGAGCAGACGCCCACGTCCACCAGCCTGCCCGTCCCGCACAGCCACTCCTACCGCGACAAGGACAAACACGGAGAGCCGGAGGCCGCAGGAGAGTCGTTGCTCAGTTTCAAATGCCACACTGTCAACAACAGCGGCTCGCCAGCCAGTCAACTCAGCAAGGTAAGACGAGCAAATAAGCAGTGTGAAAATGTGTAAAATGTCCCAGTTGCTCCATTGCTTGGTGTAATGTATCAAAGGAATCAGGAAGTGACATGGTTTGTGTGATTTTTGACCACACAGTGGAAGGCTGTTTGACAAGCTGGAGCCTTGTTTTGTATGCCGTAGATCATCTCGGGGTTGCACTTGGGTCAGTCCTTTCATACAAGTCAGCAGCTTGGGAGTTTGTGAATGAGAATCAATCTTCAGTGATGGATATGATGGCCTTGTGTTCTTGTCGCTTTATATCAGCGCCACCATGGCCCCAGTTGTGGCTGTCCCAAATGACAAATAGATGCATCTGCAGCAGGCGGGCCAAGCAGTTTTATCCCCAGATCACCTAAAAAATACGACATGAAATTTCATAGAAAAAAAACAATCATTATGTATGTTTTTAAACATATAAGTACGAAAGGATAAAAATAAGTACGTGGATCTTTTTCCACGTTTTACGGCGTTTTAGTTGTGTTTGATTTCCTTCTGCTTTCATCTGACTGTGTGAAATCCCTCTGGTCTTATCAGCGTTTTCAGGGCTGCTTGTAGCTCCAGGCTGTGGAAAACGTCTATTTACGTAGAAGACTCTGCAAAGGTCGCACACTCAGAAATCATAGTTGGGCTGCCTTTGAAGAAAGTAGAAGAATATTATTAAATCAGTAGTTAGCTTTAGACAGTGTTCCTCAAATGTGATGGTTTGGTCATGGTTGTTCCTCCTGCCTAAAGCTCACATGCTCTCATCAATGGCATGTTTTTAGCTATTAAGTTTTTAAGCAGGTCTTTTGGGAGTGCACTAACAATAAAACAACTTGCATAACTTTAAAAACAAAACTTAGGTACAAGATATTTAAGTATATTGTAATTATTTTCTGATGTCTAACAGCTAAAATACATGAATATTATTTGGATAAATATCAGGTTTTTGTAGCTATCAGTAATTTTCTGAAATAACTCTCCCTCTTATTTATATAATCTGTAAGTCTCCTTTCAGTCCTGACAAGCATTGTTGAAAATATAAGTAGCTAACAGCTAACTTTCAACTTGCTTTATCCATCCAGTATCCAGTCTTTTGTGTGTTTGAGTTCGTTGCTGCGTCAAAATATCCAAATGTATCTAAATTTCAGTCAACTAGTTGTGATTTGAAGTGAGGTTGATGGTTAGTCCTCTGTCTAGATTACTCCATCCAGTTTTTGCACCAGTTCACTGACAGCTAAATAAACCACTCAGGTGATCACCATCAGCTGAGTGGTGTTGTGTTGCTTTACCTCGACTCCTCCAAGTATCGTTCCTGACATTCTGCCAGATCGCTCCCTGCCCCACTTAATCATAAAACTTTTCTCCAGACAGCATTAAAACAATGAATTATAACCTGTCAATTCTACATTAACTTAAAAAATAAAAAAAGTATTGTCGCTGTATATTGTTGATTCATATTACCCCGTTAAAAAATGCCTGATCCTCAGATTTAATGACATCGGTGCTGAGTGGATTGAAACTCCAGACTGACGCTGTTTGTCTGACTCTGTTTGCCATGTCACCGTCTTGCCTTTTTATGGTTCTGGCTGAATGTTTTATTGTGGTGTGATACTGCATAAATATTTTGGATCAATCCTGATATGATGCCTTGTTGAATAACAAATAAAAATTCAAATACATGCACAGAACATTCCAAGTTTTGCATACTTACTGAAATAAGAAGGATGATGTGAAGCAAATACGTAATTTAAGAAACACAGACACGATATCTTGCTGTCAGCACTTGAATGATTTTGACAGAACTTTGTACAATCTCATCATAAATGATCCACTTAGTAAGCAATCAGACATGCTGCATGCTTGGATCGCTGACTCAATTTTTATTTTTTCTTGTTAAAAATGGTAACCTTATTTACAGTCTTTTCATTTTTAACGAGTGATTTATCATCATGCAGGTGTGTTACTAGATGAGCTGCATAGTCCATTCTGTAGCCAGTTTACAAAGGTGTCTGTTTTTAAAAGTCTGCTTTTAAATCTACTCCAGATGTTATTTCATGACCCTAAACGGGCTTTATGTTTAAGTGTTCCATCGTTGCTGAATTAAAACCAGTCTGCATAAAGTTCTCCACAGTGATATAACAGAGTCTATTAATGCTGCATTATGCCTCGTTTGCACTGAGAAGTATGGCACAGATGGGTGTGATTTGGTATGCTATTGTGTCTGTTTTTATCATAAAAGTGGCATAAGAGGGCAACAACACTGAAAAACGATATATACTCTCCAAAGTGTCATGATCCGTGTTTCTGTGTATTTATTTTTAAGGGTTTTCTGTGTTCAGCTTCTGTCCTGTGAGTCTCTGCGTCTTCCCCGTTGATTGCTTCCCAGGTGTGTCTAGTTACCTGATTACCCTCCCTGTGTATTTAAGTCCACCTGTCTCTCTTGTCGGGTCCTTGTCAAACGTACGTCGTATGTCATTTGTCTGCTTGCCACCACAGTTGAACTGGAAAGTCCTGTGTTGGTTTAGCTCTCTTTTTCACTCCTTAGTTTTTCAGTTGCTACCGGTAATTAGCTGTGTGCTAACTCTCTGCCGTGCCGCCTGTTCTGGACTGTTGTTGAGCTTTCTTCATTAAATCCATCATCACCTTCATCACAACCTGGGCCTCTGCGTCTCTCCTCACCACCTCGCAACCACCAAACATGACACGAAGAAAACTGGATTTTTAGAGCTAGATGTAATCCTTTGTGAAATTTCTGATCTTGACGTCTCTTCAAGCTATGCAAATTTTCCATTTGAAGTGTAAAAGCAGTGAGTGCAAACACACGTCAAATTAAATACTTTATTTCAACCGGGACAAATCCCTCCATGCAGTGTTGGCGAATGCAACAAACACAGCGAGAGACAGGAAACAGAATATTCTAAGTGATGCTGAAAACAAATGATCCGACTGGAAGCAAATGTATTATGTGAAGCACTTCTAGATGTGAGGTGTCAGGTTCATAGGAGATCAAATGCAGTTTTAGCAGCTGTTAATGACTGGCAGTGAAAGCCTGTTGAGTTAAACTTAGCATCATTTTCCTTCACCAGAAAGGTGGCATGGCTATTCAGAGCATTCATTGTTGTGCACATTAAAAACAGAGTATCACTTATCAGAAATGGATTGAAATGCTCCAAAGGAGCAGTCAAAGACACGCGCTCCCATGTGACTCATCAGTCGACTTGTCTACCACTGCTCAGTTTAACAGCCCACAGTGAAGACTCCGGACGCACACAGCTCTGCAGCTTAACGAGGAGGTGCTACAAAAGGTGATGGCATGTTGGAAAAGATCCCAGTTGAGTTCATGGGATGAGCTAATCGGGATGCTAAATTACTAATAACTTAACACTCCCTGTTTTTGTGTAGTGACAGATGGATAGGTTGTGTAACCGTGCTGGTGTGTGTTGCAGATTTCTGCCCAGGTTCCTCTTGAAAATGAGTTTTACCTGGTTAAATTAAAGAATGATAGACAAACTTCACTTTGACTTGACTCCAAGACATTATATCTCATACCAAACGGTGCCTCCTGCCATGCATGCCATTTTCTTGTTTCTGTAAGCAGCACATTTCGTCTAATGTGCTTGTGGATGAAAAGTGAAAACATGCAAACAGTCATATTTACCTGCTTTTCTTCTGTGATGTCAGAACGCTGTGCAACCCAGAACGATAATATGAAGAAAACTAAAAGTTAAAAGTCCAGATGTTGTGTTCCACTTTGTTTTGTGCAGCGAATCTGATGCTTATGTCGGCTAAACATCTGGTGACAGTAATGTTTTCCAGTCCAGAGCAGGCATACTCCAACATTTATTGTTGCTTTTGGTGAGAGTGTTGTGTAAGTCAGCAACAATGATAAACCACACAGTTTATATATAATAGTTTTATTCAGAACTGTGCAATAAATCATGTCATAACCATGAAGCAACATCAGTGTGTGGAGCATTGCAGTCGCTGAAGAACGCTTGGACCCAATGTGTGAAAACATAGTTGTTGTAATATTATTAAATATTGTGATGATAACATTGCTTACGATCAACGCACCTTACTTTTTCTTCATCACGTTCCTCAACACTCTTTGTGAGCTTTAGCATATTGCCTTCTAAAAATATTGTCATAATATTGTGAGTAAAAGGCAGCAAAGTAGATCCAACTGCCGCAAAATGTTATTGATATGCAGACTTTGCATGAATAATCCTACTTCATTTTGCTATTCCCCACAGATATTGCTATGACAGTTGCAGTTGAATAGGTTGTGGATATTGACTGGTTCAGACTCCTCTCCTTGTGTTGGTTTGTATTTAGTTCAGCTCTCTGTTCTCTATATCAATTTATTTCCGTGTCTTTGCTTCCTGCACTCCCCAACTGTCCCTCATCTCCTCATTAACTCACCTGTTTAGCATTCCAGCAATCAAGCTCCCCAGTATAAATATTAGTTGTTTTTTCTCAGTGGGTGTTGCAGCCGTCCTGTGTTCCTCTTGTGATTTATTAGTTTAAATTTTCCCTGCACTCAATAGATTTCTTGTTAGCTTTTGATTTTCCCTGTTTTAAGTAAAAGCTGTTGCCATTACTGACAGAACAAGGGTACCTCATAACGATCCCAGAGACTCTGTGCTGCACAGATGCTCTCCTGTTGGAGCTTTTTTTTTTTATTCTTCTGTTATATCTTAAAATGTTCCTGTTTTTGTTGTTGTCTGTAAAACTCCCCATTATTTCTCATCTTGGGGTCGTAGGAAGCAGCTGTTTGTTTTTCATTAGCATAGAATATGTTAGCTTCTCAGATCAGTTGAAAGCAGCATGAAATCAGTTATCTGTAACTCAAAATGCATTTAAATTGTTTTTTTTTAGAATAAAAACAAATAATTTCTAATAGTAAAAGGGTAACTATATTTTGAAGGGAAGCTTAAAAAAAAAAAGCACAGCTATGCATCAACTCTTCTGTCACAAACTATTTCCTCTCTTTGTGTGTAACTGATTGCCTGGATGAGTGATCTGTCTCCAATCTGGCAAACACTTACCTCTTTTTAAAATCCTTTTTATGTCCAATTGCACTTAGACTTGCAGCATATGGCCCTGCTGATTGACACCTTTCCAAAAAGTGCCAACATTATGCATTACACCTCTGACATTAATCCTTGTGGCTTTATGTAATATATATATATATATATAAATATATATATATATAGAGAGAGAGAGAGATTTTTTTCATTTCTTTAAACAATTCCTTTAATATTTGAAATAAATTAACTGCATTTTTGTTTTTATCCCGGTCGCTGATGTCAGCAGTTATAGTCTACATTTCTGAAAAAGTTACATGGATGGCCATGCATGTTATATTTGTAACTAATTTCCAGATTCTAAAATGTTTTAACATTTTCTTGATCTGTGAAAACCAAGTATTTCCAACATTTTGAAATGACTTCATTATTAATCCTAGTAATATTGATTTTGCACTGCACTTTGTTGTGATGAAGCTAAGAACAGCATCTGGCTCCAAACCAGTTTTTTCAATTTTTGTTCGACAGTAATTTGACTGGTTTGGCTGAACCTAAATAACAGGTCTGTAAGAGGATTAAACTTTCATGGAAAGGGGATGGATGTGTGTTTTTCTAAATAAACATAACTCCCACTGCAGTAAAGACTGAGTGATAAAGAAAAAGCTAAGGAAAAGCTCGCATAAGCACAAGGATTTGCCTGCACAGAGGTTTCAATTGAAAACTGCTATGCACACTCATTGTTGTCTTGGTAGCAAAGTGTATTAGAGAAGATTTGGCTGCAACTTCCTCCCAAACAATCACATCTGCTTCTTCATTCTCTCCCACTTTCTCAGGGTGCATGTGAGTGACTGAAAGCTGCTATACGGTGATGATTTAGAGACTCAAACTGATGAACTGCAATCAACTTGCTACCTCTCACCTAATCCCTAATGATATGGGGAACAATGATGTGAAAGGCCTGCTCTAAAGCAAGTGTTTGGACGGTCTGAAAGTTGTTTCTGCCAATATATTACAATACCTCACCAGCTGGAAGTGTAACGACAGCAAGACTTTTAAATTAGAAAATCTCTTAGTTATTTGTCACGTCTAAAGAAAGAAATATGCAAATAGATCCACACGAGTCAGAGGGCATTTGTCATTTTCAGCATTGTGATTATTGCAGACTTGACTGCCTTGCGCAATAATTATACACGTTGAACCTTTGCACAGTTTCTCATTACAAATGGATATTTCAACGTGTTTGAATTTCATGTGATAGAGCAACACAAAGCAGTCCGTTAGGTGGGCCACTGTAGGCCCGTCATGGTGAGCGTTTGGGTCAGGAGCAGCAGAGCGGCCTGTGGCAGCTTTTAACTGAGAGTCTTAAAAGTCATTTCAAAAAGTTTTCAAGATCTTCTCAGTGTTTTTCCTGGAACATAAGATCTAAATTCGCCCCTCAGTTGGTAACTGATGACGTTCTGCACAGATTCACAACTAATCATCCTTAAATTACACAACCATACGGCATCCTGTCTTATTTCCTGAGCCAATGGGCATTAGCCTTGAACTGAACTGTAGCATGAAGATTTCATAAAGGGGACACAGTTTGAGACAATATTTCCCATTTCAGATGTTCCTCTTCTGGGTCACTGACAGGTGATGTGTGGTTGGAGCATCCCGTCTCTCACTGACCCCCAGAGGTCCACAGCTCTCTGCATGCTGCTCAATGCTTTGCTGAAGTATTCATACACCGTTTGTCATAATAAAGTATTGCTACTGATTTTATTTCAGTTTAAGAGATGAATATCTTTAGCTCTAAACCCATTCTACTTCTTTTGTACTTTTTCAGTCTGCAGTGTTGCCATGCTCTCTCTGTTTTCAGATGATTATCTAAACAGCGACAGTGAGACGTGCAGGCATGGAGTATTGTTTTATTCCTCAACTCTAATTTAAGCGTCTCCGCAACTTTTTCACTGACCTGTCCGCTGTGTTTTCACGATGCTGTTTGTTCACTGATGTTCTCTGAAAAACCTCTGAGGCCTTGCTGGAATTATACTGATGTGAAATTACACACATGAAGACTCTGACTTCTAAAGAAAATAGATTGTCCGGGATTTTATTTCACAAATGCATGCCACAGTTTGTGGATTTTTGTTAAAGAAGTTTGAAAATATAACATTTTACTTCCACTTCCCAACTACAAAGTATTTTGAGTCGCTCTATCAAATACGATCTTTTTAAAACACACTGAAGGTACTGTGCATTAGCTTCCTTTAAGGCTGGATTTTCTTTCTACTTTAACTTTGAAAACTAAAGAACGACAGCTTAGGGGGTAGAAAGTCATACATTTTGTGAGATGCAAACTGTGTAGCTGTGGCTTTTCTGCTGGATAAAGTGGGAAGTTGTTCCCAGGCCACGTTCCACTCATGGCTGCAATAAGGCTCATAGCCTACATGTATCAACACCAACGCATAGATAATTTTGTCTGGAGCTTCTACTCAATTACTTTTCATACAGATATCCATAAACATCTGATCAACGACATAAACAACTCCTTCTCCATTTTTTAAATGTTGGGGAATGAGTTTATTCTGACCATATCATCCACCAAAATGTGCTGTGGAAGCAAATATCTCTTCATTATAACCTCATGGTCTCAGCAGTGTGTCATTATTCAGCAATAAGGAGGAAATATTTACATTTCTGCATCTGAGACCCACAGAAGCAGCATCGCTGTCACCATCCTGTCATAAACACTAAACAGTCTTAAGGATGTTGCCAAGAAGAAATTGATCCCTGAATCATCTGCATTAAAGGCACGTTTAATATCCTTCCAAGCTGAACCATCACCATCATCACTGATTTGCACAAGAGAAACAGAGCAACAATAAAGCCCAACTGTCTACCGCACAGGAAAATATAAGAAATATAGAGAAATCACGAGCTCTTGGCTTAGAAATGATCAATTTGATGCAGTTCATTTGTGTAGCGCCAATTCACAACACGTCATCTCAAGGCACTTTACAAAAAAACAAACTGCTTTAGACTTAAATTTAAAGTGAAGCACATGCATTCCAATTGATCCAAACATCGCAGCCGATATCAGTTTATTTTATTTACAAAAGACAAAAAACCCTGCAGACTGCCTCAAGTCATTGACTTGCAGCATCACTTCTCCTGAACGAGCACATAGCCAACGATGCAGTAGACAATCACTTGTGTTGTCATTAACTTTGTGACAATCTCATACTGAGCATGCATGTAGCAACAGTGGTGAGGGAGAAACCTCCAACAGAACCAGAACCGGAATCAGCTGGGTGTGAACAGCCATCTGCTACCACTGACTACAGAGCATACACACACACACACACACACACACACACACACACACACACACACACACACACACACACTCACAGAAAAACAAAGAAGCAGAAGTACTGATCAAACTTTGGACTTGATCATAACATACTGTAAAACATAGACATCTAATTCCTTTGAAATAATTTTCTCTACTTTATAAATGCACTCAAATGTAATTTTTTTTCAGTGTGCCATTATGCACCTGCAATAGAATAATTTATTTTATGTATGCAGCTCTACCAGACATGCAAACACATTTGTGATTATGCAGTTTAAACGGAGAGACTATGTTCTAAGACAGAGGTGACCTGCCTCATTTGAAGGCAAATACATTAATCAATAAAAAATGCAATATGTAAAACATAACCCACAGTCATACAAGAAAACCAAATAGAAGAGAAACTGAAGGTGACGTAATCATTCCTTTCTGATTGGAGTTTGTTAGGGATGTATTATGGATCGGTTTCCAGTAAGCTGCACTTAAAGTGCTTAACTCCAGGATGAATGTTGCAGGGGCTCCTCATTAGCTTGTTGACCTGTGACTCAGAATGCAGGGGCCACACATTAGAAAAAATCTCCCTTACATGTTTGACATACAAACAGTTTGAGGTTAATTGGATGGACGCTCAGCTACGATTAACTGACAAAGTCAAATGGCTCCTGGCATTAACAGTGGATCAAAAAACAGGCTTGTAATTGCTCATGCTATTTCTTTTGATGAAGCGGGGATTGAGCTTGTGTGTGAGTTTGGGAGCATTTATGCATACTTGTGTTGTTGAACTTACTTATGCATGCAAGCTGATATCATTTCACATCACGGATTTGATGAAATGCAAAGTTTGAATCTTAAGTACGAACTGTTTATGTATGCGTGTTTGACCGCACATCCATGCATTACTCTTCAGTGTGAAGGTAAATTTTTCTCCCTCCCAGAGGAATCACATCTTTCTTTCTCTTTGCAGCTCGGTGATACAAACAGGCCTGTGATGCAGCAGTGAGAGGCCTTGAATGCTAAACACATCATAAGAGAGGAAAGCAGAGGGGAAAAGGGGAGGGGAAGCAGGAGGAGGGTAGACAAAAAAGAGAAGTGGGAATGCAGGATAGTGAAAGAGAGAATGGATACAGTACAGCCCAAAATGACAAATGAGAGACTAGAAACGGGGCTTCTACTGGAGCAAGAAGGGAAGCTGTGAGATTCAGTGGGAATAAGAGTAACATTAGGAACAAGAGGAGAGAGAAATTGCCTAATCAATAACTGGAGATCAACAGACCCTTGGGGCTACTGTCTATTTCCATTGACTCAGAGAAAAAGATTTATTTCCATTTTATGAAAAGACAAGGAAGTTGAACTCCTACCTCATGTATTCTGTTTTCAACATGAATCCATCTCACTGCAATTATCTAAACTTTTTTTTTTTTTTTTGCATTTTCCTAAATCAAAGGCTAGAGTTTCCTTTTTTTAAGTTACTTCTTCCCAAAGTGGCTTTAATACATTATCAAACATCACATTGAAGGATACAGGAAGCTCCTCTGTGGGCTGTGTTGTCCGTTGCAGAGTTTAACTGCTGCATAACAATGATTTCCATCTCACTCTGCACCACAGGGCACAGATGAATGGATCCATTTGCTCATTTCTGATTCATCTTTATTCATCTAATTTTTTTCAGCACTTTGCTTAACACCATTTCATCAGACGAGGATGTTCATATAATTCACAGATGTATCTCAATAAACACGGCCGCTGCATAAAAATTTATAAAATATAGGAGTTCCACTTTTGAATTCATGAAGTCATGAAGTTTTTGATGCTATTCTGTGACGCTACCTGCATACAGTCAATTCGGAGACATTCTGAAAACGACAGTCATGATGACAACGGGACAGAAATGAACTGAACTCTGGTGAACAATAATTATCATTGTCATTTGTTTCAAGTCTGATGAACCAGAAACCAACTAAGACATGCATTACACTTGCCCTTCAGGACTTTTTCTTTTGTAATCAGAAGAAAAGTAGATTTCTTCATCCAGAATCGAGTTGGTAACCACTTCGTCTTTTGGGGATCTGAAGGTATTCCCATCCCATAAGGGATGTACGGTTCTAGGAATCCTCGATCACATTCCCAAATCACAGCTGACCCTATAGAGGACTCTGCTTCCAGTTCCTCCCCAATGATGGAGCTCCTTCGCTTCATAAGGCTCAGCCAACCCACACGACCAGAAGGTTCATAACAGCTGCTTCTACCGAGGGTCTCCCTCTTTTAGTTGTTGACCCAATTGTATGACCTCATATGATGGTCAGCGTTCGCACACCAAAAACACACAAACTTTCAGAAAACTTCCAGTTTTCTGAAAGTTTGTTCAGGATTAGTGGAGCATAAAAACTGAGTGCTGCTTTTTCTGATTCATTATTATTCATGATTACCAAGGTTTCTTATAGTGAGTCCTCCTTAATTGACTGCTCCGCATCCGGTTGTCTGTAATGTACCTTTAAACTTTGACTTTTGACCTCTGCACACTCTGCTTGTTTGCACTATTTCGCTGCCAGTTTTTCTGTGGACTAAATAAACTCTTACTTGTTCCTGACAAGTTACAGAATCCATTCCAGCTGGAGGCAGCTGCCATGTAAACAAAACAATAAAACTGCAGTTTGTAATGCCAGCGTGAAACGCGTAGCATGCAGAGAACAGTGAGAACAAACATAGTTAAAGTATCTTGAAGTACCCGAAATGGGGTCTCCGACATGCTAACTCTCTTTCAGTTAAGCTACTTATTATAGGTTGGTGCAAAATTTCCCCTCTTGCAGGAGGACTAGAACCATCTGTCAGCTTTCAGTGTTCTCTGAAGCAACCTTGAGATTTATTTTACCAGCCGTGGCATTTTTAACAAAAACGGCACGTCTTCAGCCAACAGCACCAATATGGTTCAAATCCCAGAGTAACTCAAAGCAAACAGGCAACAGCACATTCCCTCTCCAAATAACAAATGAAGTCCAGCCAGGAACAGAAAGTTGATGGTCTTGGCAACAACCAGATATTTGTTTTGCCTTTCTAGAAATTTTCGGCGAGACGTATGCAGGAATAGTGTTCTGTATAATAAATGCTTTTCCTTCTTCATATAGTAAATCTTCTAATTCTAACAGTTTAAATGGCTGTGTCAACTTGGTGACAGTTGATGATATTTTATCTCTGAGGCCAATTATCTGTGCCTCCACATTGACATGACATTAGGTCATTAGACCAGGCAGGAGCTGAGCTTCCTTCCCTATTATAGTCAGATGGCATTTATCATCGTTGCCTTCTCATTTGCACTTACTTGACCCTTCCCTCCAGTAATAAAGAGGTAGGTTGGTTTGCTTACATTGATTTACTCTGCATTTTATTTATTATTATATTTGTT